AGGATTAGTCAAAATTTTTTGAGGACTTTGGATTTAAAAAATTAAATTTTTCCCCTTTCGGTTTGAAAAATATAGGCAAAATGTTTCAGGTTAAAAATATTTAAGCAATGAAATTGAAGATAATGAATGCATTAGTAAATAATTCTAAATTCTTTACGGATATTAACCACGTGCAATATTTTTCTATCAACTATTCACTTTATATTGTTACGAGTTGGGTGTAGGACAATTGTTTTATATTTATCTTGTTAAAAAAAAATTCCTTGTTACCTTTAAAATAATAAATTTCCCAATTCAGTTCAGACAAATTAAATGAACAAAGCACTTTGAAGGAATAGCCTCTAGGGTGTAACCTGCTAATAATCTAATAGCAAGTTCAAATGAACCCTCACAAGATCTCTTGCTTAGGAGTTCTAGTCAAAACCAAATTCCTCCTTCAATGAACTCCTTGCTGGAGGAAAGAAAACGTGGGTCACATTCCATTATTTAAGTACTCTGTTTGTTAATTGCCAGGAAATTATCCAGTATGAGACTTTTTATTTATATACATTAACGTTTTAAACTTCTACAATAAAATAATTCTTTTTCGTATCATAATCATCCATCTCAATATTCAAACTTAAAATGAGCCGATATGTTTGAAAGAAGAAAATTGGATAAATGTGAAATTTCATGCTTCTTTAAAAATTTTCCTGTTAATCTCTTTTCTCATATCTTTTTTTTTTTTTTTGAGTTTTAAAGGAACCCTTCTTTCATCTACCATGATTGGAGACCCTAGCTAGCTATTTAATTATATTCATTTATATCTTACTATACTTACTGGTAACAATATGTTGGCCAACTATTTAGCACAGTTTAAGCCAGAAAAGCCAAAAATATAGCAAAAATATTAACTATTCTACAAAGTATAATAAATTCATATTGCCAGCATATAATTCCTGCTTTGCATTTTCAGTTAAAATTAGTAAACATTATTCCGACTATATAACTATTAATTGAACAAACTCATGTAACGAAAAGATATATAATGTACTGACAAATCTAAAATGGTCTTTTTGGGAAAAAAAATTAGAAAGTTATTTAATTAGGTTACAATTCTATTTAGGAGTAATTTACTTGAAGTTTTAACCGTATTAAAAAATTTTATTATCAAATTAATCTTCAGATAAGTAAAACGTGATTTATATGAAAGTGATTTGTTGAGAAGTAGGATTTTCAAATCCACAAGTTACAATGTAGATTAATCACAAACACTAGTATTAGCATCCAGTCAATGAATTTACAATCTTCTTATATCGTCAAAATAATAAGAAAATTGTATTTGAGTATATCATTGAATTGAATTAATAAAAATAAATACGAATTTCCTAAAAATTTTTCACATGTTCTTTAGTTTTTCCAAACAAGAGAAAAAGAAAAAACCGAACAAGAGAAAAAAGTAAAAATGTAAAAAAATCGTAATGAAAAGCGTCCATTGTCTAATGGATAGGACAGAGGTCTTCTAAACCTTTGGTATAGGTTCAAATCCTATTGGACTTAATTTAAAATCTATTTCCATATATTCCATATATATACATATATATACATATATTCCATATATAATATTATAATATAATTTTATTATTATTATTATTATTAAGTTCTTTTTTTTTAGTCTATCTAACATAAAATAGGAGATCATATGAAAAATATAACCGATTCTTTCATTTCCTTGGATCACTGACCATCTGCCGGGAGTTTTGGGTTTAATACCGATATTTTAGCAACAAATCCAATAAATCTAAGTGTAGTCCTTGGGGTATTGATCTTTTTTGGAAAGGGAGTGTGTGCGAGTTGTTTATTTCAAGAATAGGCTAGATTCACCCAGTTGCACTTTTTTCATTATAACCAGGAAAGAAAGGAGTGCATGATCCCGCGAATTACTTATGAATAAAAAAAA